TCGGGAGGCCGAGGCGGGTGGATCACGAGGTCAGGAGATCGAGACCATCCTGGCTAACATGGTGAAACCCTGTCTCTACTAAAAAATATAAAAAATTAGCCGGGTGTGGTGGCGGGCACCTGTAGTCCCAGCTACTCGGGAGGCTGAGGTGAGAGAATGGCGTGAACCCGAGAGGCGGAGCTTGCAGTGAGCCGAGACTGCGCCACTGCACTCCAGCCTGGGTGACAGAGCGAGATTCCATCTCCAAAAAAACAAACAAACAAACAAAGGTGAGATACTCTTGTTCTGATAGCTTCCCAACTTCCAGAAACTACAGTATGCATATATTATTATGGAAGTGATAACAAAGAGAGAAAGACTGCACTTAGCACTCCCATGGCATGGTCCTATTTTATAAGCGTTACCCAAGAACATATTGACCCCAGTCTAAAATGATGGTTAAAAAAGGTACTTTTTGAACGATGTTTCAATACCTCTTTTTATAACTCACCTTGGCAACCAACATCTGCTGCTGATTTTCAATCTGCTGCTGTTGCCTAGCTGCCATATCTTGGAGCTCTGAGAGGGTAAGTTCAACACGTGGATTCCCAACCTAAACAAAAAGCACTTATTGTGGAACATACGTTTATCTGCATAATTGTCTTTCTCTAGAGTCAAAACTCACACATATCAGGACTTTAGAGAGGATCCCTAGAAATTAGGAGAGCACCAACTAGTTTATTTTCTTGTAAGAACTTTTCCTAATTGTAGACTGCTTTTATTAAATATAAATAACTGTTTTTCTAATGCATAAACATCAGATACTGTATTTAGTAAGGGCTCAAGTTTAAGCAAACATTTGCAAATATGTATTGTAAGTGACATTCCTCCTTCTGGAATGACAATTTAGTAGGTATATTTGAGCAAATGAGGCTGTCAAATAGTTTAAGGATATAAAACCAAAAAAATAAATATGCAGGTAACACCTAAGAACAAATGTCATCTCACTATCACCTGACTTCAGGAAATGAAAATATGTAATGGATTCTAATATACGAATAACTAAAAACACCATATGCGTGACTTACATGAACACATCATCCGAAAGAATTACGTATGTGAAATCAACATGCAAAGTAACATCTAGAGGAATGCAATTGGCTGTTTCTCCATTCTCCATTCTGTCAATGATGCCCTGAACTGAACACTTTACATATATGGACCCATTTCAGCCTCAGAATGACCAATCAGGTGGGTACTGTTACATCCCCGTTTTACAGATAAGAACATAAGCACAGGCCAGTCAACTTGTGAGGCAGAGCAGAGATGCAGAGTCTATGTTCTTGACTGTTACTCACAGTTCATTACTTACTAAGCCCACACCACGTGCACTGTGTACGGTGACAGACATGTTATGAGCATTGTGCCATATGCTCTTCAAAACAAATCTGCATGGGGCTGCAGGGGTGATGTGAGCCCCATTCTGGGTGAGGAGCCATGGGGGTGACGGAAGGAGCATGCCTAGAGGCATGCAGCTCATTAAAGCCCTAGAGTTCCATTCTCACAAGCCCATCTCCAAACCCTTCAGTTCTGAGCAGGGAGGCCACACAGTTCCTCCTCAAGCCCCCATGTTCTACTTCTAGGTTCATATATACTCTTAGGACACCTTTACCTTCCTCCACCCTTAAACCTCTTAGAATTCTTAATAGTCAGTTACAGTTTCTGTTCCTCCAGCTCCATGTCTTCCTAAACTTCTTTGATGGATGTTTGAGCACATTCTTGACTCTTGGAACATGGGATCAGGACTTAACAGTCTTTTTTTTTTTTTTTTGAGAGGGAGTCTTGCTCTGTCACCCAGGCTGGAGTGCAGTGGTGCAATCTTGGCTCACTGCAACCTCCGCCTCCCGGGCTCAAGCAATTCTCCTGCCTCAGCCTCCCAAGTAGCTGGGACTACAGGTGCCCGCCACCACACCCAGCTAATTTTTGTGTTTTTTAGTAGAGATGAGGTTTCACCATATTGGTCAGGCTGGTCTCGAACTCCTGACCTTGTGATCTGCCTGCTTTGGCCTCCCAAAGGGCTGGGATTACAGTTGGATTACAGGCATGAGCCACTGCGCCCGGCCGGATTTAACAGCCTTAACTGGAACCACCATTCTGTTTATCTAAAAATCCTGAGCAAACAATATGGTACAAGCTTTTTTCTTTTTTTTTTTTAATTTAGAGACAGAATCTCGCTCTGTCACCCAAGCTGGGGTAGAGTGATGCAATCACTGCAGCCTCAAGCTATCCTCTCGCCTAGCTAGCACTACAGGCACACGCCGTCATGCCTGGCTGATTTTTAAAATTTTTTTGTAGAGGCAGGGGTCTCAACATGTTGCCTGTGCTGGCCTCAATCTCCTGGGCTCAAACGATCCTCCCACCTGGGTCTCCCAAAGCACTGAGATTACAGATGTACAGGTGTAAGCCACTGTGCCCAGACTTAAACACTTTTTGACTAGAGGAAAACTATGTCTATTCAACAAATCTTTCAATTAACATTAATTTTATAATTTCACAACTTAAAGAAAAAAAAAATCAAAAACTAGCTTTTTGGTCTCCCCTACCAAAGGCTTCACAAAACAATGAAAAGAGGATAGAAGAGAAATTTAACTGTCTGGTGTTCTGATGTTTGTATCTATGAATAAAATAGAGCTTATTAAAATATTTTACTTACCTAAACCAAAAAGCATTTTATTTGCCAATACAAACATTTCTACTCTTTATGTTGCATGTGTTTTTCTAGGTACAAAATTAAGATATGCCATGTTGTCATAAGTAATTCAGTCATTGTATCTTATACATCAACTTATATTGTAATGAAATTTTACTGAAGATCTTATATATAGAAAAGTGTGCCGGGCACGGTGGCTCAAGCCTGTAATCCCAGCACTTTGGGAGGCCGAGACGGGCGGATCACGAGGTCAGGAGATCGAGACCATCCTGGCGAACACGGTGAAACCCCGTCTCTACTAAAAAATACAAAAAACTAGCCGGGCGAGGCGGCGGGCGCCTGTAGTCCCAGCTACTCGGGAGGCTGAGGCAGGAGAATGGCGTAAACCCGAGGGGCGGAGCTTGCAGTGAGCTGAGATCCGGCCACTGCACTCCAGCCAGGGCGACAGAGCCAGACTCCGTCTCAAAAAAAAAAAAAAAAAAAAAAAGAAAAGTGTAATAAATCCTAACGTACAGCTGAATGAATTATTTCAAAATGAACATGCCTGTGTGCTTTAATTGTATTTAAATGGGTTATAAAAACATAAGCTACCATAAACCTGTAAGTCAACAAATATGTAACAATTTACATTTTAGTAATTGTGCAATGTGAAAACTTGGGAAAAAAGAAGCACTTTTTCCACAATTTTAAAGAAAATGAAAACCCTTCAATGAAAATTTGATTTTTTAATAATAGGCCTAGCAATGTATTACATGCAACCTAATCCCTATTTACAATTTTAAATTTTTCATACAAACTTTATTTATTCAAACAAACCTATTACCTAATTCTTCCCTATTTCTCTTCATTGATTGCATCTAATAAGAAGAAATCAAACTCTGTTCCCTCAGGCAATTCGAGGTCCCTAATTATGGTAGAGTTGTCGGATGAGTCACACAGAGCTCCAGGTCATACAGAGCACAAGCCACTTCCAACAACTAAGTTAAATTAGCAGAAAAGTTCTCTCAGCAACAGTCAGACAGGTGCCTACGAATACAGGACCCCCAAAAAGGAAACACCCCACCAGCCTTAAACCTGCTCCAATGATCCCTTCAGCAGGGACTACCACCTGTGGCCCCAGGGATCCAAATGTCCTCTAACTCCGACGTTCACTACCTGAACTCTGGATTCCAGGAACCCTGTTTCTGCTCCTGATGAACCCAGCTCACTCTCCACCTCACACCACGTCGCTTGTTTTCCACACTAAACACGGCCCACCCCACCTCAGGTCTAGCTAACCTCCCACCCCAACCCCAGCATGAGCAGAGGGAAAGAGACGTTTTTATGATCACTTATCCGATCATATCACCGCCTTCTTTCTCCAAACTTCCACAAATCTACTTGCGGAAATAAGAGACTTTACTAGCTAGCTTACAAAATTTTTATAAACAAAATATTTGCCTCTCCAAGTATTAGTAAGAAGGCTAGTCTTACATTCTATTTAATGTACTACTGAAATATTTTGCTAATATGCGGCCAGGCATGATGGCTCACAGCTGTAATCCCAGTTCATGAGTTTCAGACCAGCCTGGACAACATGGTGAAACCCCATCTCTACAAAATATACAGAAATTAGCCAGGCATGGTGGCGGACACCTGTAGTCCCAGCTACTCAGGAGGATGAGGTGGAAGGAACGCTTGAGCCCGGGAGGTTGAGACTGCAGTGAGCTGTGACTGTACCACTGCGCTCCAGCCTAGGGGACACAGCAAGACCCTATATCAAAAAAAAAAAAAAAAAAAAAAAGAAGAAAAGAAAAAAAAAAAGAAAAAAAATTTTGCTAGGTTACCAAAAAGTAGTAAGACTACAATTTTACCTATGAACAGAGAAATTCATCATATTACATACCTCATCCATATTCTGTCCAGTTAATGACTCATTATTGCAGTTCTTGAAAACTATGCTTTTTTTTTTTTTTTTGTATAATTAATCTTTCATCTAGAAACACTAAATAGGCCGGGCACAGTAATTCACGCCTGTAATCCCAGCACTTTGGGAGGCCGAGGGAGGGTGGATCATGAGGTCAGGATTCAAGACCAGCCTAGCCAACATGGTGAAATGCTGTCTCTACTAAAAATACAAAAAATTAGCTGGACATGGTGGCAGGTGCCTGTAATCCCAGCTACTTGGGAGGCTGAGGCAGGAGAATCACTGAAACCTGTGGGTTGGTGGAGGTTGCAGTGAGCTGAGACCGTACCACTGCACTCCAGCCTGGGAAACACAGTGAGACTCCGTCTCAAAAAAAAAAAAGAAAAAAGAAAAAAAGAAACACTAAATAATGCTCTGTAAGGAATGCTATTTTGACATTACAATTTCAGGCAAATAAACATACTAATTTAGTCAACCCAACTGTTTCTAGTCAGAGAACAGACTCTGGTACAGATTTGAATTTTGTGTCATGCTTGGATAAACCCAAAATATTCTGCTTTTGCTTGGCACACATGTGCCAAGTGCCTCAGAGGCAGAGGAGCATCTCTGATGCCTGTTTTGTTGTGCACATATGCTGGCTCTACCTGCTCTGAAGTGCCCTCTTGTTTAGCTTTTGCTACCCTAAAGATGCTTTCCTGTCCTGTAACTTTATTTTTATTATAAGTTCAGTCACAGTGCAATCTCCCCAAACAGCATCATCATAACCCAGAGAAGAGAGAGAACATGCGTATGTTTAAAGGAGCTAAGCTACAGTGTAAACAATGGAGGTCTAACTATGAATGGTGCTTTTTCCTTCAACGCCTAACACACATTCCTTGGTGATCAGTTAACAGAAAAGATTAGTGGATTTTGTCAGCAATTAAACATCTACTGGCAAATGGGTCACTTGAGATGTCCCTAATCTTGATATGCTGATTTTAATAATCAGCCAAATTAC